AGTTGATTTTACACGTTCGGCGAAAGCCTAGCTCACCTCTCGACTCCAGAACAGGATTGAGGCGTGCTTTACGCGGGAATGACTCGAATGCAAACCATTTGCTAGAAAGCAGCACACTCTACAGGGACCTGGCCGGTAGCGTTATTCGATGGGGAGATCACCCCATGGGAAGTCCCTGGCTTGTGCCGGCTCTTTTCGAACACTTCGAGCGAATAGGCGACATACAGATGGTTGCGATGCTTTCCTGCGTGCTTCTAGAGGCAAACCACGAGGGGAAGCCTCAGATGACACCAGAGCCTCAGCCGGGACAGCCAGCACTTCCTCTCGAATTCTCATCAGTTGCGTCGACGGTACAAAACAAATCGCAGTTGACCACGCCCGCTTCGTCAGCTCCAAGGGACCCGCAGCCCATCCCGCCCCGTACATCTGCACGCTCATCGAGCGAAATCTGGCGGTTCGACTCGACGCCTCCATATTCGACGGGGACCACCCCTCCCATTGTTTCTCGGCCGCGTGGAATCGCCGCCGATCGAAAGACTTTCAGTCAGGGTGTTTCGATCGCTGCTTCGCCCGATCAATCCCAAGCGCGCAGTGGTTCTGGTTTTGGGTCTGTTTTGGCATCGTCGCTGTCCCGCTCGTTCACATTTGGACCTTCTTCAGCATCACCGCCACCTCATACCTTGAACAGGAAGAAGCCGGTTGTAGAGCAGCCGCCTCGCTCCTCGGGCCCATCCAGTGACAAAAGTACCCCAGTACCCGATGTTTATACGCCGGGCACCGAGAAGACTCAATCAGATACCGAAAGCGACCGTCTACCGCAGCCCACCAAACCAACAGCACGATTCAAAGTCACTTTCAAGAACAAAAGTGCCTTCGACGGCGATGATGAGTCCGCGCCGGATTCTCTCCTCGACCGGAGCAAGGAGTGGCTATACAGATCATACCGGGGCGCATATGCAGACCTTCTATCAATATGGGATCTACCAGTGCAGCAAAGCGAAGTCCTCAAGATCGGAGCGGTCAACGACGACGCGGAAAACATGCAAACAAGCCAGTACTGGGGCAGCCACAGTTCGAAAATAACATCTTTCCAAGAACCGATAACAGGCGACCCAAACACTTCCGGCTTCGAAGGCCTCGATTTCCAGCGCCACTGCGCCAATTGTGGCCACGCTCTACAAATATCCATCTTCGCACCTGGCCCAGTCGTTCCCGACACCCCGTCCAAACGAACTCGCAACAAACCATCCCAGCGATGCCCGAACTGCAAGCCGCGCCAACCTCTCCCTACAAAGCTGCCCTGCGTGATCTGCGGTGAAGCAGTGGAAGGCATGCTGATTCCTTGCCTGAGCTGCGGGCATGTAAGTTGCTTCGAGTGTCACAACCGGTGGTTCCTTCACAGCGACGATAGCAGCAGTCCCGATCCCCATTCTCATTCTCATTCCCACTCGCACTCGCACAAAGGCCCCGATTCCGACACATCCTCGACCAACCCACCTCTCCCTCCATCCTGCCCCTCGGGCTGCGGCTGCTTCTGCTCCGAGCACATTGTCGCCCAAGTCCATATGCCTCCCTGGCAACCACCCGTCTCCGCCTCAACAGGCGTATCTCCACGCGTCAAAGAAACCCGCGCTGGACCACACCGCACCGCCTCGCACGACAAGCGTCATCGCCGTCGCCAGTCCGAACCCGCAGCCGCAGGCCCAGAGTCAAGCGGGAACACTACTCCTACGACGGCGAAGGGAGGCCTCGGCCAGAATCATGACGATATGGATATCTGGCAAACTGCTTCGCCTTTTGCGTCGCTTGCTAGGGGCATGGGCGGGGGTCTTAGCCAGGGTCTTGGTAGGCATAAGGATGATCGGAAGAAGAATCGATCTGTTGCTATTGCCGTGCCGAAGGGGAAGTGGAAGTAAGGGATGGATGGATGGATGGTGTTGGTTCGGGTATTTTGGTTTCTTTTGCTTTTCTTCCTTTCGCGTTGATATCCACTACGTACTTGTATTTATGACTTGTTTTAATTGTTCAGATACCACTTCAATGTATGACTATTCTATTGGCGATTGCCGGTTGTTCTCCTACCACTGGACTCGACCGTACTAAGTATACCTGTATCCACAGTATGATACAAATTAAGCATCGGAGCAGAGGGGCGCCTGCGCAATAGCAGCCTGATGGACTAAGCATTGGCCTCCCCGGAAAACGCCGCGACCAATGAAAGGTGGGGGGACCAGGCACTAAGGCGAAAGTAAATGCATCAATGCAGGGTCAATCGGCCGAGAGACGTTATCTGATCTGATCTACTTCTAGTTGATCTAGATGTTTGATCTGTTCAAAGTTTTATGACAACTTGAACGCTGGAACTTGAGGTCTACTATATGGTGATTAAGATACCGTAATTTCCACGGTCCGCTTTACAACACAGCGAGAAAGCAACTTGAAGAATTGATCATAGCTTCATTAGGATGGTATCCCTCTATAGAATAGAAATAGAACAAAGCAGAAAGCAAGAGGCAGCAAAGACAAGGACACTAATCTATATTTAACCGTCTAGTCCAGTCCAGTCCAGCCTCAACTCAACAATTGGCTCACGCCCGTCTAAGACCCATATCTAGTTCACGCTTCGTACTCATCTGACGCTTTCCTTTGCCTCGCTGGGCTGAATTTACAGCTGCTTGAGGGCGTTGGCAACGCTGGAGAACTCGAGGTGGTTCTTGGCGGGCTCCTTGGCGGCGTAGGTGACCTTGCCGTTGTCGATGATCAGGATGTAGCGGTAGGTGCGGCCCTCCTCATCAGCCCAGCCGATGGACTTGGAGAACTTGGCCTCGGGGTCGGAGAGGAAAAGCTGGAAAATGTTAGTGGCCCTTCTTTTTCTTCGAGTTTTCTGGACTGTTTTGGAGGGTGTGGGGGACTCACGATGTCGTCGCCGGTGACGCCGTTGGCCTTGCCCCAGGCGCTCATGACGTAGGCATCGTTGTAGGCCAGAACGGCGACCTGATCGACGCCCTTGGCGCGGAGCTCGGGGAGCTTCTGGATGTACTCGGGGACGTGGTTGGCGGAGCAGACGGGGGTGAAGGCACCTGTGGAGAGGGTGGTGGTTAGCGAGAAAACCTTGGTGGAAGAAATAGTGGGGACAGAGATGTAATTCCTCTCAGAGGGTTGGAGAGAAAAAAGAGAGAAATGGAGGGGAAAGACTGGGTGAAGTGGCGGTGACACATACCGGGCAGAGCGAAGAGGATGACCTTCTTGTTGGCGAACTCCTTGGAGGCGTTGTAGTTGATGGGGATACCGCAAGAGGTGATCTCGCTGGAGTCCTCAGCCCAGGGGATGTAACTGGAGGAAGTTAGTTATAATTCCTAGGGTATATGTATGGCACCAATTGACGGTGTTTGGATGGCGGGGAGGTGGGGGGAAATTTTTCACGTACGAGAACTTGACGTCCTCAGGGAAGCTGGAACCGGCAGAGAGAGACATTTTGAATAGTTTGGGGGTGAGAGTGAAAGGGATTGAAGTTGGGGGATGGAAGTAGTAAAGTTGAGGAAGAGAGAAGGAAGAAGGGAAGAGATTGGCGAGGAGATAGGATAGATATTAATATGGAGACCATGGGACCAGAACCAGTAACTGGGTTAGTAACTAAGATACAAGATTACACATATCGGCCCATCGGGACAAGGCATCCACTGAACGTGACGAATGGTGGAACAATGGCCCTACTTCATGAGGTGATCCGAAGCAGAAAGATACCGAACCGTATGGATTAGCAAGAAGACCGAGCGAGAACGTTAATCAGCGGGGCTCTGGATTTGATTTGACTGATTTGCTGATTTGCCTTGCGGATTGCCGGGATTTGACTGGTTGATGTGCCTGATTTGGGCCTGATTGATGCCTGGTTGATGTCTGTGTGCCTGATATCTCAGGAACCACCGAGGTGGGGGATGACTCAGCCCGATGACGTCAGGTCACGTGATCGCATTGGTCATCCTTGCCTTCCTATTCGGGAACTACCAAGCTTCATGCCTCAGGCACCAATCGGGAATCAAGTCCCGAATCATCCCCGACAATCCCGATCGATTCCCGACTATCGCCTACCTTCCACCTCCAATCATACATCACATCACCCTGGACAGCCTCACATCACAAAAACATGGAAAGAAAGATGAACATCAATGCAAATCCTGACATTTCCCTCTTTTGTTCTCGACTGGAATGAATGATCTCAGACAGCGATCCGCCATGGTCTGCTTTATGCCAGCTGGAACCAGCTTCCAGCTCACTCACCACTCACACTCACACTCACTCACCCTACCGGGAGCATCACCGCCAGTCTCCCGCGTCCTCCAGAGTCCACCATACTCTTAAATGGGATTGGCAATCGACTTTAATAATGCACCTCGTGCAACTCATGTACTTCGTACCTCGAGCACCCTCGTGACACGCCCGTGCCGGCAGGATGGCCGGTTCTGATCCGCCACCCTCCACCGGCCGCCCTCCCGGCCATACATCGACTCAGCTCCAAACAAGCCTTACCTTATCAAACCATTATCAATGAAATCCATCAAATCTGGTACACTGCCGCTTCTGGTTACCAAACCCTACGCTGCCCGTGGTCTGCTCCCGTCTGGGTCCTCCGCGTGCTATTGCTCTGTCGGACACGCACCCGAATCCATGCTCTCAGATAACGAGATCATCTGGATATGGCACCGCGGGGAAGCTGGATAGGCGGGGTAGAAACGATAAATAAACTGCCTACGACTTGCCACAACCAGCATATCTTCCAGAGTTACTTAGGGAAAAATCCAAATATCAATTCCATCAAGCAATCTTCTAAGCAATGACTCTCTGGCTGGCTGGAAAGCCCACGGGCCCTCGTGCAAGCGAGATCCTCATTGCCCGATGCGTGATACTCCCCAGACAGGCATCAAGGACTCCTAAGCAGCAAAGGCGTTTTGCCTCCTCCTCGCAACGTCGACCAGCCTCGGTATTGCAAGTCCACGGCGAGCATGCTGCTGCTACTCAATCCCCCCCTTCCTCCTCCCCTCTCTGTCGTTCCTAATTGGGTTCTTCTTCGATCTCTTCTGGTCTCCGCCATCTCATCCAAGTCCTTCCTTCTCCGCCCCTCCCTATGGGCCATGTCTATCCTTTCAAAGCCTAACCGAGGCTTCCTGTTGAACGTGGACCGCAACCCCATCCTCCACGGCCTTTTGAAGAAGACCTTCTACGAGCAATTCTGCGCAGGAGAGAATGCCACCGAGACAAAGGCCACCATTAAACAATTGAAAGACATGGGTTTCCGCGGCGTGATAATGACCTACGCAAAGGAAACCGTCTTCGACCACAGCACCGGCTCCGAGCAAGGCCTCGGTGTCGCCGCGCTAGAAGCACAAGAAAAAGGCGAAGCCTTGGACCCGGCCCTGGCCCGCTGCGCCAATATCGAGGCCTGGCGCAAGGGCACCATCGAGACGGTCGAGCAATTGGAGGACGGAGACTACCTAGCAGTCAAACTCACCGGGGCTGGACCCCAAGTTACAAAAGCATTTTCAAAAGGCGATCTCCCCCCCGCAACAAATGCTCGACGCCATGGACGAAGTCTGCACAAAGTGTGAAGAGCGCAATGTCCGCATCCTCGTCGATGCTGAATCCCAGCATTTCCAGTGGGGTATTCTGCGAATGACGCTCGACCTGATGCGCAAGTTTAATCGCAACGGCCACGCTCTCGTTTACAATACCTACCAGGCCTATTTGAAAAGTACCTCCGACACACTCGCCAAGCACCTCGCCGTGGCCCAAAGCGAAGGATTCACCCTGGGTTTGAAACTCGTTCGCGGCGCGTATATTGCCTCGGACCAACGGTCTCTCATCCACGACACGAAGGAAGATACGGATAACGCATACAATTCTATCACAACGGGCGCTTTGAAGCAACGTATCGGCGAATTTGGCGCCGCTAAGGCTTGGCCTTCTGTTAATTTGTTCCTTGCGAGCCATAATCGTGAAAGTGTCATGGCAGCGCACCAGTTGCACAAGCAGCGTACTGTGGCAGGTCTGCCGACGGTGCCGGTCGGCTTTGCGCAGCTGCATGGGATGTCAGATGAGGTTAGTTTCTCGCTGCTTCAGCTTAAGGGGTCGGATGGGAGTCCGGAGGTTTATAAGTGCTCTACTTGGGGTGGGATGGGAGAGTGTCTGGCTTATCTTTTGCGGAGGGCGATTGAGAACCGGGACGCTGTTTTGCGGACGAGCGATGAGTATAATGCTTTGAAGGGAGAGTTTGGGAGGAGGGTTAGGGGAATGTTTTCTTTTTCGAGATAAGATGGATGGCATCGGATGTTAGGATTGCCTTTTAGGACAAGTTAGATTTGGGAGGTGGATGGGATGGGATAGATTCTACGAAATTTCGAAATCGGATTTATGAGATCAATGATATGTTCAAATTTTGATGTCTACTGAGTGCATGTTTGTGATTTATCTTTCTTGATTATGGATGTAGATTCTCTTTTACCTACAGGTAGCCCTAAATCCGAACTAGATGTTGAATGGATGCCCTAAGCCCACAACTTGAAGTCCAAGTCGCAAGGCAGTCCTTTCAGCAGAACCTTGGAATCCAGGACCCCAAGAGTCTCTACTAGTAGTACCAGGCTGTCTCAGAGTAAAGTCTATCAATGGCAACCTCAGTCTGTCCTCCCACAAATAATCCAAAATTGAGATCCAAAAACCCAATCCAATTATCAATCACACTTATCCACCTGGACACCCAAACCCGGTCCTTATCCCGATCCTTGCATTGCTACTACAGTTACACAAAATTCAACAGTCGAATCCCCCCTCACTTCCTATCATCGTACACAACCCTACCCTATCTACTGCCAAGAACGATAAGTCGGACCGTATTCAAGTTTAGGTTGGGCTGCAGGATTCTATTCTCGTGCAGTCGGGTGACCTACGGGAGGGCTACCGAGTGGATACACGTAGAGTGAAACCTGACTTTGCAAATGTCGGGTTTGTGAGCCAAAGGTGGGTGTGGCGGGTGTTCCCCGGATGATTTGGATTGGCGGGGAAGCTTGGGGGGATGCGTTGCCGTTTTGGGATGATAAGCGAGGGGTTGGAGGGGTACGGCGAGGTGAATGAATTGATTGCTTGAAGATTGATGGTGAAGTAATTGATTGGAATTTTATTGTTAATGGGATTGTTTTGGGGTCTGTGATAGTGGGTTAGGACATAGTTGTAAGCAGTTACTAATTACTTACTTGTAGTAACTAACTAGCAGGAGGTGATTGTTCAATGTCAGAATTGAAGTAGATGAATTTGCCTCTAATTATGGAATTGATTGATTCAATCTATTCAGAATTGAATTTCTTTTACTATATCTATTCAAATTGATTTATTTCTTACATGCTACTGTCTATTTCGTCCAAATCCAAACGTAATAATAATAATAATCATAATAATAAATTGCAGTTTTGAACTAACTCCAAAGCAAATCTAGTATGGGCTTCAAACTATACATTCGAACATGCACACGCTTCAACTTCAACATCATAACTCATCATAATCTAGTGGGCACTGTGGTTGCTGGGGTAAGTGAATCCACTCTGGGGGAAGAATTCCTCCTTAATCAGGCGGGGGCTGGTGAAGCGGCGCAGCACATCCGAGCTACCAGCCTTGTCGTTGGTACCACTGGCACGGGCACCACCGAAGGACTGCTGTCCAATGAGAGCAGCAGTGGTCTTGCAGTTGATGTAGAAGTTTCCAGCGGAGTAGCGGAGAGCATCCTCAGCCTCACGGATTGCAGTGCGGTCCTGAGCGAAGACAGCGCCGGTCAGGGCGAGACCGCCACCAGCCTCGTCGACCTTCTTCAGGGTGGAGGACCACTCAGCATCGGGGTAGATGTAGACAGCCAGAACGGGTCCGAAGATTTCCTCGTTGAAGAGCTGGTGGTCTGGTGTGTCGACCTGGTAGACAGTTGGGTTGATGTAGTATCCGACAGAGCCGTCGTAGTCACCACCGGCAATGAGCTTGACGGAGGGATCCTTGTTGCTGCGGTCGATGATAGACTTGATCTTCTCGAAGGAGCGGCCGTGGATGACGGGTCCCATGAAGGCCTCGAGGTCCTTGTCTGGGCTACCCATGGTGATTTCCTTGACGCCGGCCTTGAGACCGGTGAGGAATTCCTCGGCGCGGGACTCGGGTAGATACACGCGCGAGGTGGCGGAGCACTTCTGGCCCTGGTACTCGAAGGAGCCGCGGATGGTGTGGTTCACGGCGCTGGGGATGTCGGCGGTTGGGTGGATGAGGTGGAAGTTCTTGCCGCTAGTCTCGGCCACGACACGGGGGAACTCGCGGTAGGTCTTGTTGGCGATACCCTCGCCGATACGGCCGTACAGAGAGCGAAAGACGTCGGATGATCCGATGAAGTTCAGGCCGGCGAAGTCGCGGTGGGAGAGAGCGACGTCGGTGATGGTCTCGGGGTCACCGGTCACGAATTGAATGACGTTCTTTGGGAGACCGGCTTCCAGAAGAATGTTATAGACGAGCTGACTAGCGTAGACGTTGGAGGGAGAGGGCTTCCAGATAACGACGTTACCCATGAGAGCAGGGGCTGAGATCAGGTTACCACCCAGTGCGGTGAAGTTGAAGGGGGAGATGGAGTAGACGAAGCCCTCAAGCGGACGGTAGTCGAGGCGGCTATAGTTTCAGAAGTTAGCTCAATATCATATTAAATCAAGATAATGGAGTAGTTGAATCTCACCTCCACATGCCATCGCTGCCGCGAGTAGGCTGTCTCTCGAGAATCTCCGCAGCGTAGTTGCAGTTCAGACGGAAGAAGTCCGCCAGCTCAGCAGCGGCATCAATCTCACCCTGCCAGATATTCTTACCCTGGCCCAACATAGTGGCAGCAATCAGGTCATAACGGTACTTTCCAGTCACCAACTCAGCCGCCTTTAGGAAGATGGCAGCACGGTCCACGAAGGGAGTATCCTGCCATGACTGCTTTGCTCCCAGAGCAGCATCAATAGCAGCCTTGGTCTGCTCCTTAGTGGCCAGAGGGTAGTTGGTAAAAGTAGTTTGATGTTCGGCGGGGAGAGGTTGATCCCACGATTGTGCGGACTTTTGAGCCTGGCCGTTGTAGAAAACACTGCTCTGAACGGGGAGTTGAGATCGGAGCTTGACCAAAGCTTCCTCTAGCTTGGTGCGCTCTTCGGAGCCTCGCTTGTAAAGTGGCTAGCAATGAATATGTTAGTTGAAGACACTTATAGGTGTTCAATCGAAGTTTGAGAATGATAAGGCTCACGTTAGGCTCATTGCGAGGGTCAGGAAGACGGAAGGGAGTAGTGGCCTTTCCTCGAAGCTGAACCAAAGGACGAGCAGGGTTTAGACGAAGACGAGGAGTGAAGGATCGCGCAGTGCGCATGTTCATGAGAGTAGAGGAGGACATGACGGATGAGTGAAGGAGAACTGAACAAGAGACAACATATTGGCGATGAGGCGATCTTTATGGCAGACGCATTCACAGAATTTCCAGCAATCTTTTTTTTTTCTCATCGGGAGCATGGCCGATGGCAAACAGCAAGCTACCCCGCGATAAACGGGATTGGAGTAGATAGTAATAGACTGGAGCTATGACGAAGTGGAGTCCGGCGTTGATGCGATGCGGCGTGCAGCATCGGGACGAGAACCCGATGGCCATTTGGACCTGGTTTCCCCACATTAATGCGATAAGCAAAAGGTAGAATCGGATCGAGTCAAAGAAACCGGTCAGGCGCTCCGACTTTTTTTTGGATGTGATAGAAGGGAGGGTTTGCTCCCCCGCCATTTCATTCTAGTAGGTTGATCGATTCATGATGGGAAGATGGGTGACCTCGCTATGGAACAGAGGTCGAACAATCACCAAAGTAAATGGGAAAGGTCATTATTAGGTCGACTCACTGCTGATATCGGCGCTGCAACTGTTTCTGCGACATTAGTAGCACCTGCAGTGACAATTATCGATCGGTGAGTAGCACTTCAAAGCTCGCCCAAGACGTATACGATTCAAGTTGATTCTAACTATTGTATATAGAGCCCTGGTCGAGAAATCCCTGTTGAACCAGTCTCTCCTTCGCGGTCTTCGCAATCATGCAACAGCAGCACTCAAGCAACCCGCCCGATTCGTCTTCCAGTTACCTTTTGGTATCATCTGGGCGCTTTATGCAGTTACCTTCACCGTCGCCAACGGCACAGACACCATCGGTAATGCAATGAACGCTTCCTCCACAGGCATGATTACATTTCTTTCCACGACAGCGGTAAATGTCCCCATGGGTGTATGGAAAGATATGCGATTTGCGAAAATCTTCGGTACTCGAGCCGCCCCTGTGGCAGCAGCTGGAGCCGTCGACGTCGCACGACCAGCCATCGTGCAAAACCGCGCCATGGCTCGAGCTGCGACGGCTATTTTTCTGCTGCGTGATAGTGTTACGATCTTCGGTTCTTTTACACTTGCGCCCAAATTGTCTGAGGTCATTCCTGATTCTCTAACGACGCATCCTCATGCAAAGCCTGTCATTACACAGTTGACTGTTCCGGTTTTGACGCAGTTAGTGGCCACCCCATTGCATTTATTAGGATTGGATCTATATGTGCGACAGCATACAGTGCCTTTGGTTGATCGGGTGAAGCGCTCACAGCAATATTTGGCTTCGACGACTGTTATCCGTTGTATTCGAATTATACCCGCATTTGGATTTGGTTGTCTTGCGAACATGGAGCTACGATCAATGTTTCACGAGAAGTTGAAATCATAATGAAAGAGATGAATAGAATAGTAGAGAATATGTGACATGTCAATGGTTTTTATTGTGTTCTTTCTTTTTTTTTTCTCAGCATAGATACTGGAAATTTCGTACATCATGAACCACACCATTCTACTTCTAAACCTACCGGCGAGTATCATTCACATGCTCCTGCGTCTCCATCAGACGAGCCAAAGTAACGGCCTCTCGTAGTGCCCGTCCCACTGAGCCTCGCACACCTGCCTCTTCCATCACCATTAAACCTCCAATCGTGCATCCCTCAGGAGATGTGCCTTGGTCCTTCAACAAGGCCGGGTGGATGCCACTTTGAAGCATTGCCGCAGTGCCTTGCATCGACTGGAAGATCATTGTATGTGCCAGATCTCGAGGAACACCAACAGCCACAGCAGCATCGATCATTGCATCGCAAATAACCGCGAACATAGCCGGTGTTGACCCTCCAACAGCCGTGGTCGCATTCATCAACCTCGGATCAATCTGAACAGCCTTTCCGATCCGCTCAAAAATCGCATTCGTGATAGACAGGTAGTGTGCCGGTGGAGCAGGCTCTGAGACCTCAATGGCTGTGAGAGACTGAGACACCTGCGCGGCGATATTTGGCAAAGTTCGCACCACCCATGCACGATCGGATTTATTGGCGTTAGTCGTCTCGCTGCCGTAGATGGTTTGCTCGAGCTTTTGTCTGGTCCAACCAGCTGCAATACTGATGAGAAGTTTCTTCCCCAATGCTTCGCGGAGGGATTGTTGGGACAAGACCGACTCGATGTCGGCTGGGTCGACTCCTAGAATGATCACATCGGCTTCGCGGACAGCTTGGGTGTTGTCTCCCCGCTTGATGATCAGTTTATCGTGATGCTGGGAGAATCGCGCTGCTAGCTTTTCCTCTGAGCTCTGACTGCGCACGCAGGCGACGAATTTAGAGAAGAGGGACTCTTTTTCAGCGCCATTGAGCAGACTGTCGAGGATTGCGCCTCCGAGATTTCCTGCAAGCTCGTTAGCCCCGCTGTCGAACTTCAATTGAAGATGGAATTGTACTCACCACATCCCAGGAGACAGAGCGTTGTGAATTTGACTTCGGTCATGGTCGGAAGATTCTTATTCTTTTGTTGTTTGTGAATTGTTGAGAATACTGTGATTGAGCAAGATCCAATCTCAAGAGAGAAAAAAAGATCACCAACTCAGCCGAGCGCAAAGATGCCCCTCCCCCAAATTTCCCCGCTTTGATGCAGATAAGCTCTGTCCACCAGGACAGCTTGACCTCGGAAGACCCCCCGACGCCCTGTGGAGATGTGGCGATTATTGGTTGCATATGTTAATTCTCCGCCTCGTCAACTCCACTCGGTAGGCCTCCCGATGCCCGATAACGCGCTCAACAGCGAACTCGCGGGTGTCGCATGACAGGCCGGTTTCTGGACTATGAAAACGATGGGTTGCGGGGTATATATGATAGGCAAGGATAACCTGAGCTCTTCAAGTTGGAATAATAGCGAATCAATCATTTTTGCATCGTCTCCATCATGGGCGTTTCCAAGACAGACCAAATCATCATCGTTGGTGGAGGTGCTTTTGGTCTTTCGACTGCACTGCAACTTGTTCAGAAGGGATATTCCAATGTCGCTGTTTATGAGAAAGATGATCATATTCCACCGCGCTTCTCGGCTGCCAATGATCTGAACAAGATCGTCCGGGCAGAGTACGAGGATCAATTCTACACAGACCTGACAATTGTATGATTATGACCCCCAATGACTGTTTCAACGGAATTAAGAAGCTTTGAAGATACTAACTAGATGAATTTCTTTAGAGAGCCATCCAAGCTTGGAAAACTCCCCTCTTCGCGCCTTACTTTCACCAAGTCGGGTTTCTACACTGCGTATCAGGCGCAGCTCCGCAACAAGCCACCGACACTCTTAACAGATTCCGCGCTTCTGCCGAACGAGATGCGCAAATCAAGCCTCACGTCGTTCCCTTAGATAACATTGAGGATGTCCGACAAGCTTGCTGGCAGCTCGATGGCCCCCTGTCCGGCTGGAACGGATACTTCAATCGCTTCGACGGCTACGCGCATTCGGGTGCCGCTCTCGCTGGAGTATACCGCGCCGCCCAGGCAGCCGGTGTGCGATTCTTTTTGGGAGAGAAAAATGGCGCAGTGGATGAGCTTGTCTACGTTTCCACCGCGACGGGCAAGAAATGCGCCGGTATCCGCACAAAGAATGGTCGTTTCCACCCCGCCTCGCTGGTGATTGTTGCTGCTGGCGCTGCTGTTGGTCGCTTGGTGCCTCAGCTTGGACAAACGGTCGTTGCAAAATCGTGGTCTGTTGCGCATGTGCGTCTCACCGATGAAGAGACCTCTGCTCTTCGTGGAATTCCCGTTACCTACGCGCGTGATTTGGGATTCTTTTTCGAACCGGACCCAAAGACCAACCTGCTGAAGATGTGTCCCATGGGCGGCGGTTATATCAACACGGATCCTAAGACGGGTGTTTCGCATTCTCCTAGTACCCTGAAGGAGAGTGCTTTCTTGCCCGAGGAGGATGAGAAGCAATTGAGACAGTTGTTGAGGCAGACTCTGCCGTCCCTTGCGGATAGACCTTTCGTTGAGAAGTCTCTTTGCTGGTTCGCTGATACCAACGATTCGGATTTCATTGTCGATTATATTCCCAATATGTCTGACTCTGTCATCGTCATGTCCGGTGACTCGGGTCATGCTTTCAAAATGTTCCCTATTGCCGGAACGTTCCTCACGGATATGCTCGAGGCACCTGGCAGTCAACAACCTATCGCCAGGTGGCGCTGGAAGCAGTGCCCCTCCAATGATGGTAAGGGTGACTGGGGTGGCGATGTGAGCTGGCGTCTTGGATCATCGAAGGAGCTGTCGAGTATTTCGCCAACAAAGGCAAAGCTATAGATCTTTGCATATCAATTTTAGAATATTCAATGATTATTAATTTGTTTCAGAATCCTTTTGCTCCCAAACATCTGAACTAGATAAATTCCAGTCATTTTGAGTCGTATTGTTCTCTTTGTTGACGGCTCAAAGTCCTCAGCTAACCGGCCCAAGGTAAACCAATTGTAGATAAAACGATGTATGAGATGATTTCTTTGTTTAAACTCGATAACTTGAAAATTTCAACGATCTAGCAAAGAACTCGAATATCTTCGAGCGACTAAGAGGTTTTAGTCTATATTTGGTTTAGTTGAATTGTTCGTTTGTTACTTCTTATACTGCGTTTGCATTGTCTCATTCCAAATGAAACATTAACATGGCGTTTTCAAATCAAGCCAAGACACCATTGAACCTGAATGGTATCGGTTTTGATCAGCTACGGAAGTTTCATCTATTCAATGAATTAGAAAAAAGGATCCTTTCTTCCAATTCATATCATCCACATTTTCATCTATGAATATCTGACTTACATAATTTTCTCGGTACAGAGGAGCTTGAATCAGCAGCCTCTATTAAACATGCATCGGCCCGCATCTGCACTGTCATTGCAGAACCAGCTTCACTATAAACATTCATTCGCTTCATCCTGAATTTCAAAGTCTTGCAGATAAGGAAGTTATCTATATCAGTCCCGAAAAACCCCTCTACGGAGCAAATACCCATCTTACCACTTTCGCAAAATATTCGTATCATTCTGCAGGACGGCCACAAATGTTAGAAATTTGCTAGAAACAAGATTAGCAAAGCAAGACTAATAATACCAAAACCAAACAGTCAGGCCAGAAATTGGTTCTCAGTTCCCTGTTATCAACTATTCTATCTATGTGTCTCTTGAAAGTGCTTGATCATACTGGAAGAGGGGGTTGTGGCCATTTCTTCATCATTGAGATTTTGCAGTGCACCCAGTCTCGCTTCCGCCAAAGCCAAGAGTATTGCATAAATCCCACTACGAGGATTCTTGTACCTAGTTCCAAGTTATTTCGTGATCTCATGCGGTGGTTTGAGGCGGGGCATAATAAGGTTGCAGGGAAATGCCCTGTTTGTTATGGAGGGATGAGTGAGAATGCTGAATTTTGAAATTTCCCCTTTTGCAAAATACTCTATTAGCCACAACTACTATTTACTCTCGACTTAGTCATTCCTAAATCCTGTTCATGTAGCTAACCTGCTGTCACTGCTAAAAAATAATTCAATTCGTCTGAGGAATCTCTCTATAGTTCTAGTCATTTCATTCCAAATGTTCGTACATCATCAATATCATCCATCATGAAAACCAGCTAGTGAGTAGCCCGATCCAACCATCACCCACCAAAGACAAGCGATGCACCAAGCCCACATAATAGAAAATAAGAAAGAGAAACCTCGCTAATCGCAAAAGTCCCGACCTTCACCATATACTATGCTCAATCATCGCATTAGACATCCACTCCGTATCAATACTCTCAATTGAATCCGCAACAGCCATAATCTGCTCCGCAGTCAACCGATTCGTAAACCCAAGTTCTTGATCATCCAAAGCAGGAACGCCCACACCAGAGCCACGGTCAGACAGTATGTCGTGCTCAAGCTGAGTCTGCACAGCAGCATCGGCAGAATTTGCCTGTCCGGACGGCGGGAATGAATTAGCGAGGGAAACCTGCGAACTGCTATTGAGAACATTGTTCGGAAATGAGACCGGCGCTGATAGACATCGCGGATGTTCTTGTGGGAAGCAGCTCAGTAATTCGTCCAGTAGGTGGAGTTCTGAGCGGCGGAATTTCGCGAGCAGGTTTCCGCTTTCGATTATTTCTTCGAAGATTGCGTAGGCTTTTTCGAGCCAGATGGGGTATGTCCAGCGGATGTCGATTGCTGGGCCCATTAGGAGAACGACTGTTGAGACGAATATTGATTCGAGGTCGAAGGAGAGGAATGTTTCTGAAGAGAGAATATTGTTAGATGGGTTGGTAATGCGGAAAAGGGAGGGGGGTAATGTAGGGCGTGGATATTGTTCTGCCTCTTTCTCCTTTCGACTTACCAAGAAGACCTTCGTTCTGGAGACTATGAAGGATGCAGATTATCTGCTGAGCGGAGTCCATGCTCATTTGGATCAAGTTGCGAACAGTCCTGGAAGTATTGAGCACCTCGATGCAATTTGCCGGCGACTCGAAGCGGATTTTCAGGAAGCAGAATAGGAGCGGTCGGGTTGCAAGGACGATACATTGGTGGTAGAGGAGGTGGAGGTATGCAGAGATTCTAGAAACACCGCTAATATCGCGATCCATTTGCAGTGGAAATGCTCGTCGGAGTTCATCGGCCAGACTGGCTATATTTGCGAGGGCAGATTTTGTGCGGACGAGGAAGTTTCGATTAATTCGGCCGTCGATGGCATATACAGCTGTGAAAGAATAAGAGTGCTTGTTAGAACGGGATTTCCCAGTTGGCAAATTCCATTCGTGTATTAGATCACTTACAGCCGTTGATTTCGGCGATTATTCGAGAAAGCCGAATGTGCATTCCGATGGCAGCTGTACGCTGCGGTGAGCCTGGGAAAGATGGTAGGAGAGTGTTGATTTGGTCGTCGTTCAGGGTCTGGGGGAGTCCCATCAACGAGGTCATCTCGCGATCCAGTATGTAAACTGTCCACCAGATCTTGCGACACCGTTGAACCATGTTCTCTCCAAGATACTCTATTGGCATTTGCGTATGCATTCCTTCTGCCATAGCCATTCGCATGGCTTGCCCGATCTGCAGAAGACTGGTTAGACGGTGCATTCGGGATTTCAATCCGTAAGTCTGTGTTGGGTAGTTGACGTACATAATTGTGTGCTGATGACCTGCAATCCAATGCTTGTAGATAAAGCGCGATGCAGCACATGACTTCCGTAGATTCGATCGGTGCCTCATGAAGCACGATCACGTCCGGCAGCATTTCCAAGGCCTTAACGAAGTAGTCCGCTCCAGGGGGTCTGTTCCCTTGGACCTTGTGCTTCACAAACCCCTTTCCGAAAGCAAGGATGAGAAGGAAATGAACATACCATAGCCCAGTGGCTGCATTGGGCTTAGGTTCGGAGTAGAAATCATGCAGATTAGCCATGAACTCGTTCTCGTCAAATAGATGATACAGCTGCCCGCAGCGGAATTTGACGACATTGATCAGGTACATAGCATGGTCAAATGTGGGAACCGATGGGGTTTCAGCCATGCTGTGACTCCTTCGAAGGCCATCCCATCCGAGATCGTAAGTTGCGCCATCAAATGTCAAAGCCCCTGTCGGCAGCGCCTCTTGATAAATGTGTTCGTGAGTGAGGCTCAGTACTCGACGAGCAAATGACCAGTTTGAGGACGTTCCTAGATAGACTTATAAAGGGGTTAGAACCATTACAGCTGTTGGCGGGTGGCTTGCCGACGTACATGTCCTCCCATTGTCCGCGGACATAAAGGCCGGAGGACCAGTGGAAAGCGGGTTAGTGAGACCGGAGGCCGGATCTTCAAGCTCTTGATGTAACTGTTGAGATTCCTCATGGTCGTGAGCTGATGAGCGTGATAATTGTGGCGAGTCATGTTTGAGATCTGCGATGCATGAGCATTGAACGCACGAGCGAAACGGAAGTACGAACCGGGAGACCTATCCTCTGCATAATCTGGGCTGAGTGGACTGGGATCAATGTGTTCGACGTTCTGTTGCAGACTGGCAATCTTCTGATGCAATTCGTCTATGTAGCTAGATCTTTGTTTCAGCCAGGTGTCTTCTTATCACGCCTCCTGGGGGGGTAGGAAGGTTGGTGGCGGAGACGCGAGTCGGGTAGGGTTGCAGGAATGATTTACCCTCGAGTGACCAGGATCTTTTGATCGCGATCATCAAAGATACAAGTCAGTTTGCGCTTATTGCAACCATCACACGGCTGTGTTCCCGAACACTTGATTTTCTGTCTGCGACATCGGGTGCAGCTAGAGATAGGGTCAGGGTCAGGATCAGGATCAGGATCAGGAACCAGAGAATCGGATGATAGGGGGGAAAAACCTACGCATTCAAGGAACGTTTTGTGACTCGCGACCCATTACCTGCCATGAGGATAGATTATGTGTGTAAATGGAACGAAATCGAGGAGGTTAGGAGGGGCATTTGCATTCAGAATGAAGCGAAATATCGAATTGGCAGAAATGCGGGGGAATCTCGCCCGGTGGAGCCGGAGCCGCCAACCTTTGCTTTTGCTTTGGCCAGCCTTGGTTGGGCCAGATAAGCCTGGTTGATAGGGAAACATCGCCACTGGAGCATTACAAACTAGGAGTTTCATCATCATCTACGCGTGGAGTGGTTATCATTGTTATAATTCAGGCTATAGAAGCATGGTGATGCCCGAATTTCCCTCTTTAAGTCTTTCCATCTCTCTTTGTCTTGTACACAAAGGGTTGGGAAAGTGATGGGAGACTAATTGATTCTCCCCAAAGTTGAACCTTGTTAATCAACTAATTTGTCGACCATGCCGCAAATTCTAGTGCTTTTTTCGAAGGTGCTTGACGTCGAGGTCTAAGCGACGTGCGCGTGACCCCAACTCGCCGCCAAAGATGCACATCTTAACTTAGCGGGGAAAGCAGGGCTAGCAGCCACTCTCCTCCGTCATTTCTATCCCGGAGATAAACCGAGTCCACTTTTTTAGATCCAGGCCCCTCAGATAAAACAGGTGGGTTGCATGTCAATGCTAATTCAAGGTGGTGGTGGATGTTGGTCGTCGGGAGGCTTCCCGATCATATGGGGGGTCACTAAACCCTTTTGGAGCAGTCAACCCGCCGATAAGAAAAACCACCGGAAGAGCAGCCGATGGTTGAGATGCATAGACTGAATTAGAATGAACTGGATTGAACTGGATTGGACAATTGACTAAACAGAATTCAACTAGCTAGACTTCGGATTGCTGCCATTAACATACACACAAACACACGCCAACACGCTTGGATTATGTATTACGCCCTGGTCAGGGTAGAGTTCAATCACGATGGCAGAAGACAACGCAGAAAGTGATCAGTGGACGGACAGAGCTGATCTCATAGTTTTTGAAGAGAAAAAAAGAATAAAGATAAAGAAAGGTTGGAGAGTGATAGACAAAGGAAGGTCTGGCTGGTTGAAAAAAAGCATCGGAATGCAGTAATGAACGAGTGAGGAGGCTTATCAATGGGACAGCCTAGTAAGTAGTTGAATGCAAGCGAGTGTAAACGGTGGGGAGGAAATGCAATTGGTGTTTTTGCTGGCTGTAACGCAAGAGGTTGAGTGAGAGTGGGTATTGAGCGAGTGTCGGGGATAATGTTTCGTAAGAGTCGGATAAGAGTCGAAGGGGAGGGAGACAGGAGGCAAGGGGAAGGAAAAGATCCGTATGGCAATGATTAAGCATTAGGAACCGTGTCCAGCACACGGGACATTTTCTTCGCCCGGGCAGGATCTTCCACAAGCATGCCCCGGGATTTCAGCATAGACTGGACTGTCTCGACCACTTTGTTGAATGAAGACGCAGCGCCACGTTCCTGCTTGAAACGAACCAGACTGAGGTTTGCTTGGCGACCGTGTTCAAGGACGGTATAGAACTCAGCAGTAAATTCCACCTCTCGGAGACGAAGGACTAAATGGTGGTCAGTATTCACCGATGATAGATAGAACTGGTGCTCGGAACTTACAGTTAGCCTCGCTCACTCGACCGTGAACTGTGCTGTTGCTTTTGTCCATGTACACGTCTTCCATTCCGTAGTCCCGCCAATCACGGAGCAGTTTATAAACTTCCTTGCGACTCTTAGCCTTGGAGGTGTTGAGAGCAATGACTCGGGACGCTGGCTTGATTTGGAAAACCCGGGCGAACCAATTGTGATTAGCGATAGAACGACGCTTCATTGAAGGGGGGCTAGAGAGATCGTCGGCCTCAAATGAGCTCTCGGGGTCGGGAAATCCCTTGCACATGAGGGAGGAGTTGCGGTTTTGATCCTTTGAAGAAGGTCTGTCCTTGTCTTTGGTATGTCTTAGCGTATGCTCGAGGAAGTCGCGGACGGATATCTTACCCGTTTCAGACTGGGCCATGTTCTTGTTCGACTTCTTAGGCATCAGCTTCTTTAGCAGAGTACCACCGAAGCGTTCCATGGACGTCTTTCGAGTAGGAGCTTGCACTTCCTCCGCCTTGGGAGGTGGTCCCATCAGATCGACGGGAGTGTGAACAATTGTTCCATTGCTCGGAAGGATTTGCTGGCGTTCTTTGGTAGGAAGGGATGACTGGCTGTCAGGAACATGTGAACGAGTTGTCTTGAACCACGACCATTTCTTGCTGTAAGAACCTGTATTGCGTTCGGGGATGGAGGGCCCTCGTCAATTCGCTCCAAGCCAGAGCCACTGCGAGTCTGACGGGAGCTGGCGGAGTAATTTCGAGCGGAATCATTGGTTTCCTTCGCTGTGAAATCGGATACCATACCTGGCGTTTTCTTGCGAATCATCAAGGGTTTCACCTCTTCCATGGACCGCAGAGAGCTGTGAGGGACCATCCGAATAGTGGTTCGGGAATCACCTCCACGCTGACCAGGTGGCGGCAAACGAGGCTTGTGCTTCAATTTTGGGGTATTCTCACCGGGGCCACGAATGGGACTCGCAAATTCTTCGGTAATAACAGGGAGTGAGGTTTCCTCCGCGGCAAGGTAGTGATCCTCTGACGAATGACTGTCTTGCCTATTGACATGACTACCGTGCTGTGTTTGATCTTCTTCGATCAAGCGGTCGAGATGGCCGATGACACCAGAAAGGTACCCTGTAATATTGTCGTTTCGACCCTTGCTATGCTCCACAAACTTGCGCCGAGTTTCAGTGAGTTCTTGAATGCTGTAAGAGCGCCCGCACTCCTTCGGAGTCGCCCTCAATATGTCAGCGGACGCTTTGATTGGAACATTAACGAAATGCTCCTGGCTGGCGATTGATCCTGGGGTGGCTGGTGTCTCGTATCCAGCTTCGGTGCTGGTGGTGCGGATTGTGGTCACAGAGCTTCCATTGAAGGCCTCTTCACAAATCTGACTAAGTTCATGGGATACCTTCCGTGTGTCTTCCTTCCAGATGATATCTGACTCCCTAACCTTTCTGGCCTGACCCAAGCTTCGGACCTTAACCCCACTTGCTCGGACAACAGTTGGCTGGGCTGGAAGAGGTGGGCTGCTTGGGATCGGAGGTAGATCGAGGCCATCAGCAATCATTTGGAGACTTGCGGCGCTTGGTGACCTCTTGAGATCAGTCTGTGGATTCGGTAATTGGTTCTGGCCTGTCTTTCTTCTCTTTGGCTTCGTGGATCCCTGTGACTTGTTGCGAGCGTGACGGAAAGAAACATTGCGACGGTAGCTGGTCGAATGGGTGGATAGGCCCGGACACCTTGAACTGGAGTGAGGAACTTTGGAAGATTGGAAGGACTTCATCGAGCTGGGCTTGTGCTTTCGCTTCTGGAGAACTGTGAAAGGTGAGTTCTCAATTCCTTCATCATCATCACCATTCTCATCGGGTTCTTCTTCCTCCACGATTGATGGGGGTGGCTTGACAACGGGCGATGCCACCATCTCATCATGCTCTTCGAGCGTCCTGTGAATCGTGACCTGGGCATACTTAGCCTCCCTTAACGTCGCATGGTGCTTGGGAGACCGGAATGGATCGTAGCTCTCGACACTGGCACATGATCTTGGTTCCTGCGGCGAGGCTATCCTGTGGCGGATGTCTTTGACGACAGAAACGTGAGATCGACGTTTTGCGCTGTTCCGACCATTCTGGCTGCGACCTCGACGAGGCTTGCCTCCTGGGCGGGATATGTGGTGATAGTCACTCGCGGAATACTCCAATGGTTGCCCTTGATAATTCTCCAACTGTTCATCACGAAACTTGGCAAGTGCGTTGTAAAACATTCGCTCGTGGGTTGGTCTGGGAACTCTAGTCAGCATCAAGGACACGCGGGGATGAACATGCGACTTACTCTATGCAAAGGATTCTGTCGATCAAGGCATCTGGCTTAACATCGTGCCACAATGTTTGCAGGTTTCGCAAGATGTCCATGTCAATATCCTGACGACAAGAAATTGGCTTGCCGCAGTCCTTGACAGAAAGCTTGGGTGGGGGACCAATGTATTGATCTGTCATAGCGTTATGCAACTTTTCGTATTTTGTCAATAGAGGGTGTTGCCAGATGTTGGCCATGGAGATTCGATCCTCGGGCCGTTTCTGGAGAATGCGTTGAATGAGGTCGGCGGATTCATCGCTCAACTCGGAGGGAATCATATATTCGCCTTTCTTTACCAGTCGCAACGTGTTGGGCAGGTCGCCTCCGTCGAAAGGCAGGTATCCCGTCAAAAGAGCATATAATATGATTCCACAACTCCACATATCAGCCCGATCGCCGCGGTATTTGCGGCCGTAAATAATTTCTGGTGCAGCATAGTGAGGGCTTCCGCAAGAGGTGTTCAGCCAATGGCCTGCGGGCTGCAGGGCTGCCATACCAAAATCTGCGAGTTTCACATTATGATGAGAGTCGAGTAGAATGTTCTCAGGCTTCAAGTCACGGTGGCAAATGTTGAAACGATGGCAGTACCCAAGTCCTGCAATGATTTGACGGAACAAACGAACCGCTTCTTCCTCTGGGAGTGGACCATTCTTGGACACGTAGTCAAAGAGTTCCCCTCCTTCAACGTATTCAAGAACTAGATATCTGTAATATTTGTCAGTCCAATGCCATACTACTCCTTGTCTTCTCAGAACTCACAGCTCGCCTCGATTCTCCCACACGTCGTATAGACTAATCACGTTATGATGCTCAATGAGTTTCATGATGACCACCTCGCGCTCAATTCCACAGGGCATTTGGCGAGCATTGCTGAAACCTGAAAAATTACTGACGTTCCGATCCATCGCCGCGATACTTTCGCTCTGAACCATGGCGGCCGATTTCTTGGAAACAATCTTGATAGCTGCGGTCTGTCCAGTGACGGCGTGCTTAGCCAGTCTCACACGACCAGTAGCTCCTTTACCCAAGGTCTTCCCAAGCTGCCATGGACCGACGTGAGTTTTGCGTTTTCCTTTGTTCGATAGAATAGATGCAGCCGATAGAACGGAGTTGCGGGCTGAGTCGGATTGAAAATCGGTGACTACTGAAAGCCTATGGTTCTCTTTGTCCCGAGGAGTCGGGCTAGTCATGATTGACATCTGGTCAGGAGTTTTGAGCTGATCAAGATCCTCGACGTGCAGTCGTGGCGTCTCGGGCTTGGGAGACCTCGCATTGTTGATTCTTCCCGATGCATCCTTCAAAGGTTGACGTCTTCGATGAGGATCGTCCAGATCTAGCATGGAGTGGTCCATAGCTCTGGTCGCAGAATTCTGAGTTCTTTCTGGTCAAATAAACATAAAACTTTGTGTTTTGGGGGATGGGCGATTAGTTAGAAGCTGCACATCCTATGTATTAGCCACTTTGTTCCAAGGCATACTTCCTGGTCTCGAGCTCACATTGAAGTGGGATTCAGCAGGCAATGGTGTTGACAAAGGCGACTTGAAAAAAATGAAAGACTGTAAAGATCGGCTCCAGTAGATTCTGGAAGGTTGAAAGAGTGGCAAGGACCTGGTCAACACGGCATGGCGAGGTCGAAGGAGTCGAACGAAAGCTACGGGAGGCGAGGACCCGATGTTGAGAGAACTAGACTGGAGAGATAAAACGGCGCGGTCGACTGGGTTTCAGAGACCTGGGAGATTGGGGTGGCCCTGGCGTGGAATGCCTCAACATGACTTGTTGTGAAGAGGTGAGGAATGGAAGAGCAAACAAGATTCCTGCCGCCGACGACGCCGACGTTGGAATGTTCCCGCCATTTCCTTCTACACTACTTTTCTACACACTTTTGATTAGTATGATGTTTCTTCCTTTATTTACAATTTTCTCATTTTCTTGCTAACATGAACATCTCTTCTTTCCTTCTCTTCACTTCTCTCTTGCCACCGCCGTCCCTGGGTTAAGTAGTTGCCCACCATGAACCATACCTGCTAAATTAACATCTACTGTCAAAAATCTGAAACCCTATTTATTTCAAACAAATCATCCACAGTGCTTAGCCTTGTCAATCTGTAAATTTAAGCCTCTTTGGTGAAAACTGAGATATGTTTATGGTGGGGGAAGGGTCGTCGTCGCATTCCATCCCGATCAAGGGCTCAAGGGGTGAGGATTATCCTCGACATTCCACTCCCTAGACCCCTTCTCAAATCCAATGAGATAATATTTTTGCCTTCTAGTGTTAACCATTGAGCGTTTATTTTCCTATCGCCTCGTTGACATCGACCGTGCTTGTAGTTAGTCCTCCTGTCGCTATCATGATAATCCACATGTAGAGCTCCTATAGATCAAACAGCATTGTCTAAATTTCAGTAGAACGAGAAATAGAAATAGATCAACTCCTTCCTTCTTCTTTTATCTCCTTTCCCTAAAAATCCACTAAAGCTATAATCGGCTACAATGGAGACCTCGGGAGCTTTGAACCTTCAACTATGAAGTTCAACTTCAAGTCGCCTCCGGTAGGTTTAACCATGCCTCTAATTCAGTCCCAAATCTTCTTCAAGTTAGAATTTTCGGTTAGGCGTATTGCCTTGCATCTTAAATACTACTTGCAAAGTATTGAAACGTGTGGTTTAAACCCCGAGGGCTCATTTTAAAGGTTGCTTCAAAGCTTTTATATATCAGGCATAGTAATACTATCTCCAGGGCTAGGTACTTCTAGTACTAGTACTGTGATTCTACCTAGTATATACTACTAGTAGTAGTGATATACTCGTCCTTCTTACAATTCGGCATTATAAATACTACTAGTATTGCTTACCCTGGACTCAGAGTAGTATTCAAATACTGGTAGCCCTCTAGGGCTGGAGTGATAGCTCCAAGTTGATGATCCATTCGCAAAAACAATAATTTGAGCACTAGTAACTATCTTGAGCCAACATGGAGACCAATAAAGGACTTGAAACATTCAAAACTTAAAGTGATGCACTACTACCAGTGCTCCTGACTGATATCCACCTCATCAACATCAACCCCATCCACAAACCAACGTCCCTCCCCATTCCCACCAGGCCCAAGAAGCATATCATTACCACTCATCATGCGCTTACGCATTTTCCCACTCTCTCGATCAAAAGTCCAATCTTCCAACCCATAGCAACGTTTCCACTTCATCCCATCATTCGCATCCTGAAACTCATACCAAAATTGCACGGCGATACGATCCTCGCCAAAGGCAAAGAGCTCCTTTCGCAGACGATAACTTTTCTCCCGCTTCCATTTTGCTGTCAAAAATTCAACGATCGCTTCTGACCCGGAGAGAAATGATGTGCGGTTTCGCCAGATACATGTTGGCGTGTATGCATTGACGACTTTTGACGGGTCCCTAGTTGGAGTCATTTGTTAGATGTGTTGAGTTATTTGCACCATATCGTACGTGGATGTATGTATGTACTACGTCATCTTGGGGTTAAGCCGCTAAAGCGAGAAAGAGAAAATAGATCAGAAGATCACCCTCTCCAAGGGGAAAGTTGGAAATCACGATAGAAACGTGAAAGGGTATGCGACCATCTGAGTTCAGGGCCTCGCACGGACAAACAGTTGAAGGGAGTGAGGAATGCAAGGGATGGATGGCTACTGCCCTTACTTGGTCCATGTGGTCCATCGGGTGAAGTCATGATGCAAGGGTAATCGGAACTCACTGGGTATTCCACATGTTCTGAGCTGCTTTGACCTTCAGGTGAGCGGATTCTTTGGTGAAAGGGGGTTTGATATCGGCCATGATTCAAGTTCAAGTTGTTTTCTAGTTTGGGTGCCCAGGTGTGTTTGGGTCGGGGGAGGGGAAGGTCGAAGCGGGAACGCGCGGAGGAAGACTCGGAGGAAGTTCAAGTTGTTGGAGTTGATCGGAACCTTCCAATGGAGGGATATGAAATATATATAGTAGTGCCTAGTTACTCCTACTAGTTCTGGTAGTACCTAGGGAGTAGGTATTTATATACCGAAATAGATCACCTAGCATATACTTCGGTATGATAAGAAAAGGCATTGGTCAATTTCAATTGTGAGTCAGTACCTTCAGTCTACCGAATCCTTGCCCTACCGGGATCTCGGGGTTTGATCATATCGGGGCATTCATTGGCACTAGGAAATAGTTTGTCGTGGGGGCTATTCCTTTTTCCTGATAGAGGGAGTGGCGCCCTCTTTCAAAGTCACGGTGTATACCTAGGTATCCTAGTATACTAGTGCTGTACATCCCACATTTTATCCTGATTGCAGACCTTTCAGATTCAAGTTGAAAGCAATTAATGATCAATACACTTCCATGCAATTTGTCCTCGAAAGACGAGTTTCTTTTCATCAAAGCGCTTTCGGCCGCTACCTAGGCACAAATTTATGACAGGTGGGCGGGGCTCATCATCTGTCCAATTCCATTGTACGTATAGTATTGATCTACGCGAGCTAAGCGAGTTTAGCGAGCCAACTGTATGTTGCATCTGGAAGCCAGTTTTATAGCCAGCGGGACCTTCAAGTTTTAGTAATCGACTATTATAGCTGGTCTATTTTCTTTTTTTTTTCTAATAAAAATAGGCACTGGGTGTTCCAAATCCCCACATGGAGTGGGCGTGTCAGCAACCCCCTTCGCAGGGCCCGATCTTAGGGTAGGTAACTTCCACATCTTTCTCATCAAATTTTAATTCGGCGATCCGTTGATTACTTTCCCAAGATTGAAGACGTTGGATTCTAGTCGGGCTGTATTATAACACACTTCCCTGAATGCTAAAGAACTACTAGTATCATTGAGCGAGGTGATATCTTTGACTTTGAAATTATATGATTTAAACAACCTTGCGCCTGGGAATTTCAAGATATACTACATAGCCCTGGTGTCTAACTCATACCTGGGTAGTATAACCACTGGCAACATTCCACTTATTTTTCAAATATCCTGACCCTGACCAGCAGACTCAACCTCACCCTCAGCCCCAGAATCCTGCATCCTCTGACTTTCCAACAACTTCTTCCTGGCCAACCCCTCAGCCCGTTTCCTCTCCCTGCGTGCAACAGGATCCTCCCAATCCTCCGACCTAGACTTCCCCTTCCCCTTCCAAGCCTCAAGCAAAGTAGCCCTAAACCTCTCCCTCCGCTCAGAATTAACCTTGAACCGCTCATCCGACATAGCAATCAACATGGCCAGATACTCCTCCGTCACGAGGCTGCGAATAACAGGCTCACCGACAGATGATTCATCCTCGTCATCGCAATACCCAATCACAGACTCGAATTGAAGACCAGCTGAGCGCACAGCAACGATGGGACTAGGCCCCGTACCTTCTCCTTCAAGGCAGCGGAGACTTTGCAGGCCGCTTTCCCGAAAGCCCGAGGCCGATGCTGCGGCTAAGACGGGACTTGCGTGGGACAGACTTGCAGCCATTACGTGCAGGATCTGGACTGTTAACAAAATGGAAACAATAGAGAGAAATACCCGCGTACATACCAATGGATCATAATGGAAACGAACAAGCCTCAATGACTTCCCAGCACTGACAATCGGCGGTTTCCCATCGCCAGGAACCAGTCCGAAAGCCTCGTGCAGCGAGGCTGGAGCCGAACTCGCGTTCGAATTCGATGGATTGGACCTTAAGCCGGGAAATGGGTCGTGCGAAACATACAACCACCTCCCAGCACCCTTGCCCCCGGACGGCGCGAAGACTCTCTGATCATCTTGGACCTCTGGTTCTGACTCTGCGCCTTCAGGTTTTACCTCCTGCTCGGACGAAGATACGTCTCTTCTACCCTCGAGAAAAACACTAATACGCCCCGCACAACTGCTCGTCGTGACTAAACCGGGCAAAGCATTAATATCGCGGATCAAGTCGCGCACGCCGAGGTCGACGGAGCCCTTTGGTGAGAGATCCGTGTAGTCTTCGTCTGGGATGGCGAGCTCTTCTATGATTTTGTTCTTGCGGGTTGTGAAGAGTGGGGGGGATATTTTCTGAGTGTTGAGATTGAGCCATTGCTTCACGTTTTGGTGGACCGTGGTGGCTGTGGCCCAGGATGCTTGTGTTTCTCTTAATTCAATTGAGGGGTAAGAATGGAAATGATGGGGTTTGATTGGAAATAGAATATTGCGTCAGGGTATGATGGTGGTATCTGCCTTGAATTTGATATCCAAATCGATCGATCGGGCAGAAAAAGAGATTCCCGGGCGGAGAAGGTGGTCCCCTCTCGTATTACGCAGTACATAAAAGGTAAGGGTAAAGATGGGCAAAATACCATATTAAAAAGCCGGTTTAAAAAGGGTCTACTGCCCTTTTTTGTCGCCTTTTTTTTCTTTTCTTTTCACCCTTACCCATTTCTCAGAGCCATCGCAGGAATTGATTCCGAGCGCAACAAATTGGTCTCTGCTGTGCATCTTTTTGCACTGGGTAACACAGAGCAGAATTGGTGGGGGAAAAACAAGGTCTACAAAATACACAAACTTCTAAGCAGAACGTAAGGTGATTGGGCAAAAGGGGGTCAATAGTGGGATCTGATTTCAGTTCTATACACAACTTACACACATCCATCTCAATATTTACTATGCCTCGACGATCTTCCCGGGCCGCTCCCGCCGCGCAAGCGCCAGAAGCGGCGCCAAAGCGACGCGCTTCAACCAGGCTATCCACTTCGGAGGCGGAGGTTAAGAGGGTCAGGTCCAACATCGACTTACCTAGCAGTCAGGTCAAAACCACGGCTAAGAAGAGCAAGTACTTTGAATCCGAGGGCTCTGCTGAATCCGAAGGACCGGCCAGCGACACCGATGAGGACGAAGGCGAGGACGACTCCGCGTATGAGGAGAAGGATGTCGATTCAGAGTCAGACGACCACGAGCCCTCCGATCAGGATGATGAACCCGACAGCGAGGAGGAGACGAAGAGTGCGCGGGCCAAAGGGGGCAAGCCAGGGAAAGACAGGGTATCTGATATCGCATCCTTGAAGGGCAAGGAGCTCTGGCGCGAGGGTGTTCGCACAGGCTTGGCTCCAGGGCAAGAGGTTATTATCCCCAAACCCAAGGCGCGCGACCCCGGTGATGTACCGTACGAGGATGAGACGCTGCACCCAAACACCCGGCTGTTCCTACTGGACCTGGCCAAGAACAATGAGAGAGAATGGCTCAAAGGTAAAGCAACGCAACACAACACAAAGCCGGGCAGAGCAGAGCCAGGCTGGCGCTGCTGTGCCATCGCGGCTATCAGGTAAGCTGACTGGATATATCACGCAGGGCATGACCCGGATTACCGCGCGTCGAAGAAGGATTTCGAAACATTTGTCGAAGCCCTAACCGGCAAGGTCACCGAACAAGACAGTACTGTCCCCGAGTTGCCCGCGAAGGACCTGGTAAGCCCAACATACCACGGACGAATCCTTGACACCGACAAGGCACTGACCAAGAACCAGGTTTTTCGGATTCACCGCGATGTCCGCTTTAGCAAGAATCCTCTTCCGTACAAGGTATGTCCATGGCGCCTCGTCCCCTGTCCCTACCCTTGCCCTGTCCCATCGCTGCGCGTGATAAACCCTCCTGTGTGACTGTGATGGTTGTTAGCAGCGTGCAGGAGCCCTGCTGACGGACGAATAGATTCATTTCTCAGCTGCGTGGTAAGTTCTTAGTGTCTGACTGGAGAGGGGAATGATGCGCAGTGATACTCATGCAAGCCCTAGGTCCCGGACTGGCAAAAAGGGTCCGTATGCCGCGTATTATGTGCACTTCCAACCTGGTTCGTGTTTTGTAGGTATGTCTTTTTCGTGTCCTTTTTCTTTCCTTTTCTTTCTCTCCATTGTCACTCCTTTCCTCACCACTTGGGTATAGGTTGCGGGCTCTGGCAACCCGAGGCCGAACCACTCAGGTTGCTTCGAGAGGACATCGATGCGTACGCGGATCAATGGAAGGAGGTTCTCCGGGCGCCAGAGATGCGCCGGGAGTTCCTTGGAGGAGCGGCAGACGATGATGAGGCAGTGGTGAAGGCGTTTGCCCATCATAATCGAGAATCTGCACTGAAAACCAAGCCTAAGGTATGTTAGTTGTGTTGTTCCCAGGCCTATCCCTGAAGTATCGTGGACCATGGAACTCTGCTGGGATTGAATGCCTGTCCCTTGCGGAACCTTTAATTCTTCTCTTCGATGATCTGCCAGTTGTATGCCGTTGGTAAGGGGCTCGTTGTTGCATATTGGTGATGGGAGGCCCGATCGGGCCCGGGTCTTTCGATGATGGAGATGAGTATCAGCCTCATCAAGGTCATCATCACGGTCATCATCAAGATCACCTTGGCTGCCATCGCCATCGCCATCGCCATTGACATTGGCATTTCCATCTAGTCATTGCCCTGTTGTTGATGAGAATCAACAGGCATTTCAGGCACGATTCCTAGAGTACAACAGTGTACGATGAGGAGACGAGTCACGCGTTCCAGCCGGGTCTGTGATCTCCGCCAATACGGGGGTAATGGACCAGACCGAGCGCGGCAGCCTCAGACACGCTAGAGGTTCTGCAATGGTGGCAGTGGCAGTGGCAATGTCGGTGGCAGTGGCAATGGCAATGGCAATGGTAATGGCACATGAAAATTGAAATGATAAACAAAGACGATCCAAAGCAGAAAGAGACAACCGGGCGAGGCAAGAGCAGAGCAAAACATCTCCCAAGGCAGGCACGACAGTCCGGCCCATTTGGTTCCATGGTTCAACACCGCGCTTGTCTCCACGTCCAAATTTGCCCGTCGAATGAACTTCTTCTTCCTCCACCTACACCAAACACCTCAGCACCTCAACACCTCGAAAGCTGAAAGCAAGACTGACCAGAAATACAGGGTTATGATGCCGACCATCCCAATATCCAATTGCTTCGTCTACGCAGTTTCACTCTAGGTCGTCCTATCTCTGATGCAGACATGATGGCTGCGGATGCACAACACCGGATCGCCGCCCTAGTTGGCGTGATGGAGCCCTTCGTAAGCAACTGATCTATCTCTTCTCCCTCTTTCGCCCTTTGCTTCCCCCCGTCCCCGCCCATTTTGCCCCGTCTTGACTAGTCTCGTTTCCTTTCTGAGCTAGCCACTGGACACTTGGGACTTGGGCTTGGGACTTGGGCTTGGGGGGTCCCTTTGTTTTTCCCTTCCCCTCTCCTCCCTTCTCATCCCCTCCCTATGCATTCCCCTCCCGATGCTCGGCCCCAATCAATCAGATTGCACGGCTACACAATTCGGCACACTGGGGATTATCCCTCGACCACCGCTGACCGCTTCCTCAACAGGTGACGTATCTCAACAGCGTCGTGATGCCCGATTCGTAACGCAGTTCGCCTAACTTGGCACTTGATCGAGCCGCCTACCATTAAAGTCTGCCGACTGGCTTGGATTCGGGCGCCTGTTTCGGGCATTCATCGTTGTGATAGTGATGAAAATTGCATCTGAAACCCCCCTCCCATTCCCTTCTTCCGTGGCTCTGGGTTCCATTCCCGACATTTCTCTTTGTTTCCTTTCCTTCCGCACCGCCTGCAACTAAAATGCAAACAATCCGGAACGGTCAATTCACCCGTCCATACATCGTGAGATTTTTAAACCCGATGGCGCTCTGCACAAGGCCATTTTAGGGCCATTGGGGTCATACTCCCCCCTCCTCCCCTCCCCTCTTTGCTTTCTACACTACTCCCTGTCAAATAGAAAAATTCATACTTTTTTTTTTCCCTCTCACTCTTCCTCCCCCAGGCTTCTTCCCTGCATGCAGTAACAACAAAGACAGAATGTGTCACTTACTGCACTGCGCCCTCAATCACATCTTAGTTGCATCGTCATGGCAGGAGTCGTGAGCCAGCCAATTCCCTTCCACGGTAATAATATGCATGCTACTCGAGGTAGGGCTACATATTCTACTAAACCAGTATCCTCCACTCTACCCCTCTGCACCCATGTTGTACTCTTATCCCTGTCAATCCAAATCGACCGATACACTTCTCCAATCCGCGCTAAACATGTAGTCCTCCCGTAGGAATCTTCCGATAGGCGGTCCGGTCCTGGCCTTAGTTTAGGATATGTGACTAACGCTAGCTAGTCGAGGCACAGCCCTGTCCTGTCCTGTCCTGTCCTGTCCTGTCCCATTCTATGAATTGAGACAAATCAGACAGAGTACCAAAACAGAACCTTCTTTCTCCTCCACAGAACCAATCATATGCCCCTCGTCGGAGAAAACAATCCCAGACCCAGACTTTCAAGTTGCCAATCCCTGCTACGTATTCGAGCTCCATACTAGTTAGTACTACCTAGTTGATCCCAAATCCTCGAGAAGGAACAAAGACGCATTGGATTCTTTGTTTGTATGTACTCCGTAAATGAAAACTCAAAAAACCAACACACCCACATCCACATCCACATCCACATCCACCACCAATCCATCTTCCACCTTCTCAAACAGGCCATCGCGAGAAAAGAAAAGAAGGGAAAAAACGAGAACCCATTCACACTAAAATCCCGCGCACATACTGTATGTACAGTATGTCCCTCTAGTGGAACCCCGGAACCCCGGAGCACACCCATATTTGACTCTGCAGAAGAAAAAAAAACCATCAAGTCCACAAAACCAGCGCCCACCAGAGTCCACTCATGCGTCCACACTTCTGCACCTCCATCTCAAGGCAAAGGCCGAAAAAGAAAAAGAAAAGAAAAAGAAAAAAGACAAAGAAAGCCCACAGCAAGCGCCCGGACACTTGCGCCCGCCCGCGCCGCGTTCGGCCCGCTGTCGGGCAAGCCCGCTTGACGAAACCTTGGACTTCAGGTAGAACTAACTGGACTACTGTAGACTTAATCTTGGTCTTGGTATAGGTATAGATCTCTTCAAGTTGGTTCATTCTTCATTCTCTTACTTCCATGGCCCTTATGGAGTTCATCTTCCAGGGCCTCCATTTTCTGCCTATTCTATTAGATACATTCTCCCCATTGACCCCCCCCTCGCGTGCCAGTGCTTCTAGTCTCTTCTCTTTCCACCCCTTTGGTTCACCTTGTGGGTAAGGGCATTATTTGGTACGGGTGTTGGATTGGGTCGGGACGGGACTCCGCCACAAGTCCCAGTCAATCCCAGTTCCAAATCCCAGAACCAGAACCAGAAAAGCAGGCCAGTAGAGCCAGACTTTGGTACGGGAAATAGGTTTACCTAGATTGGGCCACGAACCAGATATTGGGATTCGAGGACCCAGAATGGGGGAAATATCTCCCTTAGATTCCTTCTCTCTCCGATTCTCTGTTCGGGGTTGGGTTAGTGAGTTGATTAGTTAGGGACTAGCCACCCCTCCAATAATTTTTTTTTTTTAATTTAATTTATTCTGGAGGGGTAGGTGGCGCTCTTTTTGGGTCGGAATAATTCTCCTTATTTCTCACCTTCCTGCTCTGGAAAGGAGCGTCAGGAAACCGATCCATGGATTCCATGGGTTTGTTATACGTGGCGTGAGACAGATTGGCCCTAATTAAAGTTACTAGGTCTACTTCTGGAAGCCCGCTGGAGTTAAGTGACTAGTAGCGATTCAAGTCGTGATGGAATAAATGGTCCGAGGCTTGTCTGGTTTGGAATTGGATCCATGATTGAGGGTCTCTGGGCTGCCACATGGTTGAAAGGGTAGTCTAACCGTTGTTAGAAGGGATGCTACTAGTACTAGTACTAGCACTAGTATGACTTTCTGGTGGTTCCTACTTGAAGGACGAGTAGGTAGTATATGCGGGACTTAAGGGCATGGCCGGACTCGGAGCTCTGGGGGTCAACTTCCAAGGTTAGGGTTGCCAGGTCGCTAGTAGTTGTGAATTGAGTGGGAGATGGGGAATATTGGGTTATCTTTTTTAATTTTGCAAGAATAGGTTTGGGTGAGAGCCATTTCTAAGAATCTTGGAAGTTCAAGTTCAAGTTCACCTGAAGTCTCAGGTGTATTAAATAAGAGCTTGAATGTATAGGTACTATCAAGTAAGATATATACCTAGGTATCCATGTCCACGCCTGTCCAGGTGGGCGATCCTTGAAACCCCAGGGCTTAAAACTCTCCAGGGCTGAAGTTGATAACTTCGAATAGAAATCATCAGAAGTATCCAAATACTACAATAGTAGTAGGTAGGTACTTGTAGCACTACTATTTATACTCTACGGCTCGGTTGATGGCACATCTTATCGACCTCGGGACCACCTGGGCACAGCGAAGACCGTGCTTCAAGAGCAAAGACCTCCGATGATGTTTCTCTTGCATCTCTTGCATATACTTAGGTATACTGTACTGGTGATATGAACTAGGTAATGATGCCCAACTTCAAGTTGTATCCTACTAGTGTACTAGCACTGTTGCTGCGCGGGTGATCTGTCCACCACGTGCATCCGGCATCTCACTTCCCCTGGTAGCCGTTGCCAACATCATCTCCGTCATCATCTCCTGCCCATTGGCTGTCTCTGTGATCATGCGTGATTCAAGTTTCCCAGGTTGAATGGTTACCATGGTACGCTACAGACTTTCGATATCGAATTCGGATTGATGCATCTACACCCATGCAAACGCCATCACCAACACGAACCTTAGTACGATCTTAGCGGTCGCACCGGGATGACCCCTACGAATCAGGGCGATCGCTCATGCGCCGGCAAGCAGCATCCCGAGAAAAAAGAAAAGAAAGGATGAAAAAAAAGCAACGTGATCATCCCGCTCTGCACGACACCCTGCACTTCGTTTCGCTCCGAACCGAGTTGGAATCGCAACTGTGTGTCACCGCCAAATTGCATTCATTTGCATCATCCCATCCAGGATACCCCCTTGGAGATCAAGCGCATCATCACACGACCCCGGTCATACCGTCAATATACTTTCAATTCTGCAGAACCATCACATCACACCCAAACATCCCCCATCTCCGCCTCCCTTGGAGCCACGTCAGATCGCGAGACCAGAGCGCCCCAGCCTCGATTGTGAATGGCTGAGCGTGTTCCCGTGACCGTTCAGCCATGCGGGCTGCGCCTATTAGTGCCCGACCGGCTCCATCCCTGTTGATAGACGCGCTCCCGTGTGGGTAACTAGAAAAAGGAAAAAAAAGAAAAAAGAAAAACAAAAACAGGCCCCGAGGTCCAGGGCCTCGAACCCAAACCAAAAATAACACAGACAACCAACGAGAACGCAAAGAGGCGATTGCGAAATCCCCAAAAACTCGACCTTCAAAAAAAAACCGGAGAAAGGAACGTCGTAGCCTGCGGTCGGGCGGCGATTGGGTCCCAAGTCGACGCTCAGTCCCTCAGTTGGGTCCATGCCGACTAGCGCGTCCCCAGGACAAACCGCATCGAGTGGCCAGCGATTTTGGATCGGGTGGACCCCTGGAGATGGCGGAGGTTTGGTATACACAGGTCAAGCTGAACAGGCCACGCCAGAGAGTGGAGTGTTACGGAAAGGAGCGGGCGTGCGCGAGCGAAACAAAAACGGGGAAATGGAGAGGAAGAAAAGTTGACAAAAATAACAAACCGACGGAGATTCGAGAGAGATTATTCAACAACGGTGGCGGTATAGGGCAGAAAGGAAGGGTCAGAAAGATATCAACAATTTTTATTTTTTTTCTTTCCCACCTGGGCACCCCCCCAAAAAAAGGCCCTCGGTTGATAAGAAATGGTTCATGGCGGGCGCGAATCATCTTTTTTTCATTTTTCCATTAAAAAAAAAATCCAGATGGCACACATGCATGAGATCGGCGGGAAGACCGGAGCGGCCCGTGGGACAAGTACCCCGACCATCAGCGCAAAAGTTCGCAACTGTCCATGACCCGGTGGCTGCCAATGCCATCTTTTCCCTCCTCATCCACCCACACCCCTGGTGCAAGTTTCACCACGGTGGAAATGGGAGGCCCCGATTTGATCCAGGATGACCACACCCCCGAGATCCAATCATCGTCGGAATTCCAGCATTCAGAACTAGAATCATCCTGGTTCCCACCTTTCTCCCTTCCCTTCCCCCTCCCCCCTCTTCCTTTGCAACATCGTTATGGATGGCCCACACACCGGGATTAGCGGTGACGGAGGACCACTCGCGCCGCCCCCGTACAACGTGGTTGTGGCTCTGGAACAAGGAACCCGCCCCCTGTCAGCGGTCAACGCAGCGCTAATGCAGGTTACCTTGGCTCATGATGGGCTTTCCGGATCCAGTGCTACAGCCCTGGGAACTTAGGGCCCTCCACTTCTGTACTTGCTACATCCACTCCGGTCAGCAGTGAGAGGAGGGGGCTCCGCTCTTGTCACCAGACATGGACGGTTCTCGTCTCGTATTGGGAAATGGAGGGTGGCGAGGGCTGAACTCCACTCGTCAGCTGAAGTCTGATCGCCACTTCACACCGCCTCGGCTGGCGCTGCAGGCGTGGGATGGATGAGGGGGAGAAGTTCGATAGTACATGCAGTAGCTTCATGTACTTGGCCGGGAGAAGAAGATGGGATGGGCCCTTTTGTGTGTTTGGGGGAGAGTTCACGCCGTCCCATTCCTGCCCGTAACTCACGGGAATTGTGGCTGCGCTGTATCATCACTGTACATGTACAGTATTATGGGTGATGAGATGAGCTTTGCTACCTTTTTTACTGCACCTAGTCCCTCTCCTGCACACTGCACTGCACACACACATCCTGCGTATTCCCGCTTGTCTCTTTCCCTCATGAAATCATGAAATGATTTTTCTTTCAATTTTCCATTTTCCATTTTGAATTTTTTGAATTTCTGGGTCCTTTTCTTCTACCAAGATTGATTGGGTCACAACCCAATCCAGATTTTCGCCCCGACCCGAGCCCATCGCCATGGAAGAGAATCCTGGTTCCGCGGGCCCGGTTGCGGTTGTGCGACGACGGTCCGAGTCGCGCTCGCCCATGGTGGATCGTGGTCCGCGCCAGGGATCACGGAGGAATATGACGATCGGGAGCTGGCAGTCGGTCTAAGTAGGGTCTCCTTCTCTCCTTCTCTCCCATGATCCAGTCTATGTTTCTACTGACCTAGGTGGTTTATGTCTAGCTCATCCAGCAGAAGACCAGCACACCACGATCATGACACTTAACAGTGCCATACTAACCGAGCATCTCCATCCCATCCCATCCCCACCGGCTTACTTGGTTCAGCTGATGCCCTAGCGTCAAGAGGGTCCCCCGTCCATGTCGACGGGTCACTGGCGCTGCTTTAGCCCGCGCTGCCCGGGCTCCACCCCGTTGTCTAAAAAATCCTGGTGCAAGTTCCAATCAGAAAATTGCATTCGCTCTTCGACAGCAGAACAGTTCTACTGGCACACCCACATCCGGCTTTGGTATTGGGTGTTGCTGGGTAGGACTAGTGACGGTCCTCGCCCGTCTTTTCCAGAACTGCTTATCGCCCATTTTGATTTATTTTATTATTTTATTTCTATTTTATTTTATTATTCACATTAATTATTCTCTACTCTGTCTCTACCCTCCATCTCTACCCTACCATCTCCTCTGCTGTACCCTACTCTACTGTCTCTGTATACTCCGGCTCACGTCATAGTCCGAGGCTCTTTTTGGTTTGGTCCTCTTTTTTTTCCCTTTCTTTTCTTTTTTCTTTTTCTTTTTCCTTTTTCTTATTCCCTTTCCTTTTTGTCTTTTCTATTCCTATTACCTATTTCCTATTTCCTTTTTTCTTTTTCTCTCTTTTCCCTCTCCTCCTCGTGTACCGAATTGGTTCCTCCTGCAGCTACCTTTTTCCCCTGCGTGACCGCGCTATGCTGGCGTCGTCCGTGTGATTCGACTCGTCCCCCTTTCATAACTCGACGTCACCTACCTACCTTGCCCTTTCTGTATCGGTATCTGATATTCCGTACTGGTACTTCTTGACTCATCTCACCTCATCCTTCTTCTCTCCTTCCCCTCCCCTTCCTCTTCCCACAAATGTCCGGTCCTCCGCCCCCCAATGGTCCTCCGGACTACGATCCTAATCGACAACCATATCCACACTGGAACGGTCAGGGTCAATCACCTGAGGATCACCAACATCAACCTCCATATCCGGTATGTTTTCTTTTGAACTTATGCGCTCTGTCTTGCGCTGTGTAATGTGAGCTGTAACTGTATTCCTACAATATGCTAACATTCGTTTCCTGTCAAGTACCCCCCGCCGGGCTCATCTTATCCTCCTTCCGACCAAGATCGCGCCTATTACCCTCCACCTCAGTATCCCCCACCAGGAACCATGGCGGCAATTCACCCACATGCTCAACCTCAAGACGCTTACCGTCTCCCTCCTCCCCGGGAGCTTATCGTCCCGATCCCTATGGCCAACCGCCCGCGACGCAGGTCGTTCACTATCAAGCCGCCGCACCGCGCCAGAGAACAGCCATTGCCTGTCGGTACTGTCGCCGTCGCAAGGTATGTGGAAGTCGATTCCATACCATGATGGACGCGCCGTTGTTGAGGCCTTTTGGAAGAAATTTAGAGGAAGCATTGCTGACGAGCTATATTGTTTAGATCCGCTGCTCAGGATTTGAGTCCTCCAGCGATGGTCGCTGTACCAACTGCATTCGATTCAACCAGGAGTGCATGTTCACTCCCGTTTCCTCACAGGCTCAGGCCTTTGTCCCCGCGCAAGTCGCCTATCCTCACCTCCGAAACCAACAGGCGGGCGGCCGCGGCAGCAACCCTGGAATGACTCTCTACGGCGCCCACGGCCAGCCTCTTCCTCCCCAGCAGCAACCTGACTCGACCCTGCCGCCGCCTCAAGGGATGTATCATCCATATGGACGACCTCCCATGGACGGTGCCCCGCAACCCCTTGCGTCTTCCATGCCGGATCCGGTAAGGCAGTTCATTCTAGCACCCACCCATAACCTCGGATCTAATGTAATGTTTTGATTGTGCAGAGACAACCCGGCCGTCGAAGCTCTGGATCGGGATTCGACTATCCGGACCCGACCAATCTTGCCCCCGTTACGCCCGCCTCCGCTCCGGGATACCAAGGTCACACCGCTCCTGGCCCCTACCACCCTACACCGCACGATCGACGTACCTCGCCGCAATCTAGCTACGGTTACGATGCGCGCCACTCCTCCTCGCCTCATAGCTCCCCTTATCCCCCAATGACACAGGGCGGCCCGACTCCACCTCCACCCCCCACTTCCACTCCCGGCGGCTCGGCACGGAGCGGCTTGAATGTGCGGGACATGCTCAATCCCGGCAACAATGATCCTTCGCAGGGCCGCTCCACTACCGACAGCGATATGCTCAATGCGTTGAATCGCCGAGGCCCCCAGTAGAAAAGGTCTCAGTTGTATCTGAGACATATACTGGGAGGAAATGGTGAGAAAACGCGACGGGAATGCGGGGACTGCGGAAGGAATGAAACCCGTGTGCTGGCCACACGGGTTTTAAGGGAGAAACCCATGTGTTTTGGATTATGGTGACATGGGAAAAGGGCAGCATGGTCCTATCGGAGCAATCTAGTTGGATCGGAATTTTATCGACAGATTTCTCGTTTCACAAACCACACCACTTTCAATCTCGCTTTGGAATTTGGAACCCTCCCTTCGGATCGATCAGAGACGCCCTAATGGAACGCGACAAAACAATTTCTCTATGCCCGTGCACGCGAATCGGAATCCGAGAATGGAGGGTTGAAACGCTTTTCCCGAGATATGTGACGGATTTATTTGCGAGTGGATTATGACGACGACGATCGACTTTCCTTTCCTTTCTGCCTCTGCTCCGATGGCCAATGCTTGATGGTACGAAGCCACTTTGAAACGCGGACCCATGAGCTTTACGAGCCGCACGAACTTTTCTTTTTCTTTTTTTTGCATTCAAGATTGCCAGAACCGGTGTGCTCTGGTTTTGGTTATTGACATACGACTTTTCTTTCCGAATTATTCTCATACAATATTTCGTTTTCTCCATCGACTCTGGTTTAATGATGTCTGGAAGAAACTGTTGCGTCGACAAATGAATTGAGTGGGCAAGTGAATGGAGGGGACCAGGTTTCACAATCTCCGAGTCACTTGGGAAGAAATGACCCTCCTTGGCTGGTCTACCAAGGTGTCACGTCACATTCCAAGTCTCGCAGGAAATTTGCACCACCATCTATCCGCTCTTCCCCCCGATTCAACTTATCATGGCCAAATTCGAACGTCCAATTTGGTCCCACCCAGCACACGCACAGATCGACACATACACAGACAGAAACAACAAGACCAGGTTCCATGCATCACGATCAACGAATACATCCCTCAACCACTTTAACACTCATACTCAACCTCCACCACATTACATCATCTCGCCTCCGTGCTCTACACCCAAAACGGCGGCAACAACATACACTTGTCACAAATTTCGGGGCGGCTACTTTGACTACTTTGCGTCTGCGTTTACGGTTCGGCTGATTCTCATTCGGGATTTTTTTTCCTTCTACCTTTTCATTTCATCTCTCTGCGCACTCGGTTTCATTCCCTTGTTTCATCTACTTTCAACCCGTATATCTTTTATTTTCCGGAAGGCAATCTCGAAATCCGCGTTCGGCATGTCATGCAACAAAAGATGGTCGGCTGTGTGAATCCTTTATCTCCAAGCTTTTTGTGGTTGTTTTGCTTCTGTGGTTTTTTGTTGCAAACTGGTTTATACTCGGTTTCCGCAGGTCTTTGATTGTTTTTTTTTGTTCTTGTTTTGTTGCCAGCTTGTTTTGCCATGCTCGATTCCTTACCTTGTTCACTGCGGCTTTTTGTTTATGCTCATGGTTTTCTTTTTCTTTTTCTGTCCGTTTACAAACTAACTGGGAGGCTGTCTGATCACTCTTTGTCTTTTACTCGTTACTCACGCTTTGCATGTCTTTCTCTTTATCTCCATCTATCGATCGATGCTACATCCATCTACATCGATAAAGTGCTCTATGCACTGTTCTGTTCCCCTAAGGACAAATCTACTTGGTGTGAGAATCTCGTTAAGCCGAGAACTATCTATCTACTTCCATTCTTGATCTGTATATTACACCTAGCCTCTCCTGACTAGGCTAGATAAGTAAATTCCAGCAATAACTTCACCTGTGACAAGAAGAACCAAATCGCTACAATGAAACTCATGTAACCGGCATGCAAGGCCCTTCCAGCCTTTGAAACCAAAGCTCGCAACACCCAATCCAGACGAACATGCATCCCATCCCATCATAACTAGCCCCCAATAAACAGAGCACCCTCATAGAACCATCAAAGTAACGCAGGCAGGAGAATCCCGTCGCCTAGCGGGCGCAGACGCAGACAGACGCAGCAAGCGAAGACTGACGTCCATATTAACTTGGGTACTTTTGCTTAATCTGTTTAATTGGATGGCGCCGCTGATATTAGGGCTGATCTAGTCATTTGATTTAGCCGCGCTAATTCTAAGCGCCTTGGACGCGTCGAGGCCGTCGTCTAGGCTGGGGCTGGCTAGCTGGGGCTGAGACTGATACTACTAGTATTCACTTTGAACTATTACTAGTACATGCAACTACCTTTTTTAGTCTCGTGGCTGGTTATTATGTTCGATATGGATTGTATTCTCATTGTTTCTGGTTGTTCTGGTGGTGGATTTACTAGTCTTTTGTGATGATGCCCAGCTCTATACTGCTACTACTAGTAGTATATGGATGGCTCGTCTGCAGTTATGCGGTGCAGGGTAATTATACCTAGATACTACCTAGGGAGTATTAGTACGTGCTATTCTGAAATTTAGCTCCAATATTTGAACCTTGGGGTATGTGTGCAGTTTGCATTCTTGAATTTCATAATTTCAAGTTTTTCCCAACTATAGATTCTCAACCTGGATGTCAGAATTTTTCATATTTTACGTTCTGTCGAAGGACGGATGTCTTGTAATTCAATGTTCGAAATGCGAATCATTTGCTTGAAATTATTTACCACGAGCCTTGAGCCTGGAGAATGGGTTATTCCTTTCGCATGTTGGTATGCTTTACTAACTTGAAGTTAAGCACGCTGGCTCCCGGGACTGGATGCTGCAAGTTACTATCTTGAGGGCCAAAATCTTGGTATTTCTAGACAGTTTATTTGCAAGCGGCGGCGGGCAAAAATTTAGAAGCTTCGAAGCATTCCCATGAGGTTTCGAAGGCTCTGTCGGACCGAGATGAAGGATGCGAGGAGAAATGTGATGTTCTTCGAAAGACCATCGTGAAGTACACGAGGGAAAGTTCGGCAATTCTCATTGCATGCAAATAAAATTGTAAGCGATAATCGAGGTATAGATGATTTAGTAGTAACTACATCTACGACTGGTAGGCAGTGGAAAGCAAATTTTATACGTTGGAAAGTGCTAGTACGGAGAAGCTTCATCAGTAGGTAGATATTCTTTGGCTAGAAAGATTGCTTATACAAAGAAGAAGGCAGGTCGTGGGTATGGGTGCCGGTGCTCGGAGCAACCCTGAGAAGAAAATGGTAGGAAACGCCTCGTAATTCAATCAAACTAGTAGGCAATGTTAGCTCTCGGTCGAGATAAGATTCAGTAAGGTGATGATTACCGGAGTCAGGAAAGATTCGGCCACGAATCGTGCACGTGCATTCAACTTTAAAGAGCCATGTTAGTATGTGGCCAGACAAGAGGCGAATGTTCAACATGGGATACGCACAAACAACTTCATTTCCGACACTTCCTTGTCCACTTCTTCCATGAAGGTAATAATAAACTCGACAAGTTGGTGCTTGAGGAGATGTTCTGTGTGATAGTTGGTGACCAAGAAGCTGATATCGTATCCCTGCGAGTGACAGATGTTAGCAAAGACTAGGCAATGAAAGAACTAAACCATTATCGTAGCAACGAACCTTTACGGGCTTCCTTCGGAGGATGAAGAATGACTCGGCTCGCTGTTGAAGGAAACGGGTGAACTTGTGGACCAACACTTTCTCGATTTCGTCCGCTTGCTTGATGCTCAAGCTTATTCTGACTGAGTTGACGGAAGGCTCGATATCTGGATAGCAGGTCAGCCCACTATCTTGGAGGGGGAAGAAATATTATGTGGATCCCGAAGATATGGATTGCGACATACACAGCTTCTCATGTTCATTACGGCTGATGGTGATACTGAGGTCATGGTTAATAAGGTTGCCTGGTCGTTGATATGTCGGTATGCATTGGGGATCTCACGGGTTGAGGATCAGCTCAGGAGAGGACTTGGCTTCGATTTCAGGAACATTATGACGCTCGGAGGTCTGCGAAGCGAAGTTGGAGATCGCAAGGGCGGCGGTGAGGGACGACCGGCAGCATCTAGGCCTATGTTAGCACGTGTTGTTTTGTGAAGCCTAGATGACGAAATGTTGCTCACTGGAGATAGGGTCGCAGAGATTGAGACTGAGAGACTGGTCAGCTATTAGCAACACAGATTAAATACACTGGATGACAAACCATGACGGGCTATGGTTCCAACACAATTGAAGGGTGAAGGCAGTGTCTCTGAGCTATTGAGACGAGGGGAAGTTGAGGTCCCGCGCGGCCGCGGAGGCGGAGGCGGTGGGGGCTATGAAGGGTAGGGCGGTGAAGGCGATGACGGTGGACGAGTAATTCTGCCTGACAATTCAGGCAGGGAAGGTTCGCCGCCTTCCATCACCTTCCCCGAAGGTTGTCGAGCTGTTTACTCCCCATCCTCAACCTATTCTTCCCATTCCTGACCTTTGCTGTTCCTCGTCAGTATGGCGTCCATCCCGAGTAAGTGGTGAAACATCGATCTTTAGCTTCAGAATCCCAACATCCTGGCTTGTCCTTCCCCCGCTAACTGATCGACAGTCATTGTTAAGCACGCGGGCAAACGCCACGAAGTTGAGCTCGATCCCACCTCCAACGGCGAGACATTGAAATACCAGCTATTTTCCCTTACCGGAGTCGAACCGGACCGTCAGAAGGTACTAGTGAAGGGTGGCCAACTCAAGGATGATACTCCGCTGTCCTCCCTCAAGGCCAAGCCAGGGCAAACCTTCATGATGATGGGGACCCCATCAGGTGGTCAGGGAGACGCAGACCTCGGCCGCCCGAAGGAGACAATGAAATTCCTCGAGGATATGACAGAAGCCGAGATTGCTCGACAAGATGGAGCTACGCCTGCCGGACTCCAGAACCTGGGCAATACCTGCTACTTGAACTCTACCTTGCAAACACTGCGAAGTGTCCCCGAGTTGCAGGAGGAGCTTCAGCGTTATCGTCCGAGCGGTGCTGGTCAGTCCGGCAGCTTGTCCAATCTCAGCAGTTTTGGTCTTGGAGGAATGGATGGCTCAAGGGATATGGCCGCGTC